TGATCCAGCCAGAAAAAAAAATGAAGGGATTAGAGGAGGGAGAGACAAATGGGACTGTTCAACAACAGTCACTCTGGCAAAGTTTCATCAGCGTGAGAGAGGACTTGTCGTGCTCTGAGTCACAGCAGATGGCCAGCACTATCAAGTGCTAATAGAGGTATGTAGTAACCACTATTGGTGGTAAAACTCAACCAACCGAAGATTCCTCTGTGACCACACCACACCATCTATTGCTGCTTATCTGGTGTCAAGTGAACAAGTAAACAATTTAGTGGCTTCTGGCAAATTCTAATGTCACTATTTCATCCTAAACGCAGTTATAGTATATGTTACGTTGTTTACCTACCCAATTAAAACATATAGACGATAAAGAAATGGTAAAGGAAGCTTAGTCTTCTTCTGCATTTTATCTCACAAAGAATGTAAATGTCAGTTATAAATGGACAGATTGCTGTATGTGTCTGTTCTTTGCATTTTATGCATGAAGGTCCGTGAAATGTACTCCTAATTGGACTGGTGTATTATTAAGAAAGTAAAGGAGAGCAGTGTTGAGTTTGTTTGTATTAGCATTTTGTTCTTTTTAATTTTAGTAATTAAAAATAATGCAACCTATTCTACAATTTATGCATTTATTGACAAGGTTTATGCCACAGTGATAATTTTTAATCCTATGATGTCTTATCTAGTCTATCAAAGTGAGTACTGGTCACATTTTCCTCATCTGCCTGTCATAATGGCCGCCCTGAAACAAGTTTTTATTGTCAATTAAAATTAAACGAAGGATTTAAGCTAGCTCCAACAATAAAGGCAAACTCTTTAGCGAACGATGATCAAGACCAGTATTAGGTATTAGGCTATATTCTTTCATTTCAATCTAGGCTGTTACTTCTAACATTCTAACATGTGAAATTAGCTAACATTAGCTTGCATGCTAACTGATTACTAATGGCAGTATTACTATTCTTGAATAACACTAGCTAACCGTATTTAATTACAAATGGTAGGTTAACTTAGGCTAGTGTTAGCAAAGTAAATTAAAATGATGAGAACACATAATATTTAATTTTAACTGCAAAAAACGTATGTTACCTTAGTTGTGGATGACTCTCTAGCTTCTGCTTTTAAATGGGTGACTTTACACCCTAGTGGTTAACAAAAACTCAGCTGACACAGTGGTAAAGATGCAGTGTTTGAATGTGCTCCATACAGTTTGTGGCACTGTGAGGTTGTATAAGAATAATCTCAGAAGTTTTTTTTCTAATACTTCAGGAAATTTTTATAAGGAACTTGTTCATATGCTCCGTAGTGCTGAGCTAACAGTGCTGTTATGTCAGAGATAGTGATAAATTGATGGCACGCATACTAATTGATTTGAGAGGTCAATGTAATAGTATGAATTCAATGAGACAAAATAAACAAAAGTGGAGCCAAGTGACAGGGAAACACAGAGCTTCTGGTGAGTCTTGGGTTACTCAGTAACTAACACAAAAACATAGTTAGCGGCTATCTGGTATGTAGCTGTCTTTGGAAAGAATGTTGAAATGTATATCATTCGTATTTATTCACTGCAATTTTGTTTCAATTTCTGGCAAACCCATAAATCAAATCAAATTAATAAAAAAAATGCAATCTAGCAAGAAGCAGAGAGTTATATTTAAAGTAAAAGCAAAACCTGTTGAGTATTTATAGAAACTGTCATTGAAAGGTACAGTAGTGACAGCATGAAGCTAACAAAAGAAAACAAAAAGGTAAAATTAAAATTAATCTTGACAGCAACATTTGTTTGAGCTCTTTCCATCTGAGGGATAAAAGACTGCCGCATCAGTAAATGAAAACAGCCATGAAAGCACGCTTTCAAATACATCTAATTTCTGCTGTAGGTACAAATTCCTTTGAGCTAAATGATGACTGTTCTGCTTTATGATGCTTGGCTCACATTAACAAGCAGGATAGGGCCCTCACACACTGAGGCATGCTGCGGTTGAGGTGTGCCGCTGAAGTAGCTGTTGCACAAACCATTTGCTGTACTTATCACTTACTGTCCCACTATGTGGCATTCAGCAACACCCACTAATTATATGTCATGTTACTGTGTACAACGTGTGGGACCCACAAAGAAATTTTCATGTTTATACTAACTAATGCTGATTTTCTGTTGCTACTAGGTGGAGCTAGTAGACAAAATATTGACATGCATAGATGTAGATGTTTCCATTTTTGGAGTCTAATCAAGAATGTCTTGGGCAGTGGTGAATGAGTGAAATTTACTGTGCTGTCACAGTCATGCAGTCCACTTAAAACTCTCTTTTACTTTTAAAAGTAAGCAACATCAACATCTAAGGTTTATTCAGATGTAGATGTGATTATTATGTTAGGAGAACAAAACATACCATTCCCTGTTCCCACTAAGTGGTGCTACATTGTAGACCCAAAACTGGCAGAAACTTCATGTGTCACCATGAACATGTCTTTCAGCACCCCCCAAAAAAAGACTCTCAGAGAGGATTCTCTCAAATTCCAATGTAATGCCCCAAAATGGTTAAAAACTACTAAACTGTCACCTTAATTTGGAAATTATAGAATTTTTATTGGGTTTAGGGCATGGCCGCAAGAGGATTTTTAAAAAATATCACAGGGTGTTACATGGTTGTGCCAAATTTCATAAATCTACATTAAACACAGGAGTGCGGCTCCTTTGCGTCATTTTGTATGGGTTCCTATGGAGCTGTTTTAACTCTCCCCATATATAAGACCTGTAAAATTAATAGATTTTCGCTAGTCTTAATTTCATCATTTTTCAGGCAGTTCATTGCTGTAAATAATGATAAAGAGAGCAAAGTGCTTGGGCATTATTGAATAATAAAACACATATGAACTACATTTATCTAATTAAATGCAATGCTTACTAGAAAAAACATATTGTTAAAAAAAAACAAAACAGTATGAATCCTGCATTATGCTGTGACACACTAAAATGAACCCAAATGTTGCTCAGCTAGCACCGAAACTGTTTGAACTTGCTATGCAGACAAACAAATTTCACAAGTGAGTGAGTGTGTGATTAATGGGAAACTAAATTTTTTCCCCCTAAATAACACCAAATCAGAAAAAGTTAAAAACCTGCATCATTTTCCTTGATTTATCTGCAAGAAATGCCATCATTTGCCCTCTGATTTATGCAGTTGTCTGTGATTGAATAAACAAGGCTGAGTTCCACTTCCTCCAGCAGTGCCGTTATGTGCTATTTATATTGCGGTTGTTTGGAGCATCATTTCGGCATTCCTCTTTGCACAGCAGTGTATTTGTGGCTGCAGGATGGTGCATTATGCATGGATGCCAATGAAACTTGTCATTAAAGTGGCCTCGTTTAGGAGTTCTGTGCTCTCTCTAAGCTAAAAAAGACTGAATAGAGATATAGAAAAACAGCAAAAGCTACATGCATTTGTCATGTGGACGTGTAAATGATCAGCTGTCAACTCCTGTGGAATATCCTTAATATTTCACTGTGCAAAGCATGTTACAGACTTCATGCATAAAACAGGCAGACCAGGTTTTGTAAAGATGTTTTATTGAGGTACGCGGCCAACCAACGAATCTGGGAAACATCCAAACACATACTTAACATTTTGAAGTCTTTAAGGTGTAAACAGTAGATGCTACGTGAAATTAGACATAATTCATGATAGCACATTTTTAGATGAGTAAAATCAAACTTCCAGTTATGCTGTGACAACACATTCCCCCTGGAATATGTTTTCAGGAGTGTGGTATTGTTTATGCTGCTGTCTCTCTGCCAACAAGGACAAACCGTAAGTCCACCAGCTGAAGTACTTCATGGTGAATTGAAGTTGCAGTTGAAGTATTTTTAAATACAACATCTACAGTATTACTATCAAGGAGACACATCTACAAAATTACAGCTTATTCAAATGACTCAAAATAAAGTGCTACTCCCGTGATGACAAGAGAAGTTTTTAAAGGAAAAAAATCACAGCTTCTAAAGGCTTCCACAAAAAATGCAGACTAAAAGGAATCAGCTAGATCCTTGTGCTCTGAAAAGGATGGGTGAACTAAAATGTGCTTTAATTTATTATTCAAATGATGCAATCTGTCCTTCAGTTCTAGATTTCTTTCACATTCCTGATTTTCCACACACAAACTCAGGGACAAGGACTTTTTAAAAAAAGAAGAAGATTTTAAATAAATAATGACTTAGTGCGTAGAACTCTAAGCAATCCGAAATGTACTGGTATTAAAAAATGGCTTGACTTTACGTCAGAACTGACCAGTCACATCAATAATATAAGGACAAAGGAGGCCAAACGGGGAGTGGAAGATGGAGATGACAGGCTGACATTTGATCAATGATGACTCGTGCACCCATGGGTACAACACTACCTGCATGTACACTGACTCATAACGGTTCAGCACTCGTGTCATCCCTTTCACTGCACAGCCTCCTACTCCTCCTGTTTTCCTGTGTCCCTCTAAGCTGTCAGTGAAACTCCTTGTCATGGTCAGAAGGAACCCCATTGTGCTGTTGTTTTTCAGGCAGACTGCCTACAGTTTTTTTCCTCTTGTTTCAAGCTCTAGTGAACATGTTAAAATTCTGGGCAACGCTTGCAACATCCCACTGAGGCTCTTCAGCAGGTCCCTGCAGAAACCGGCGGGTTTATGCCCACCGAGGTCTTTCATGCGAAAAACAGCAGAACACCTTCTGCCACTTGTAACTTCTAAACTTGGTAGATGTTGACATTTTTCTTCCTCAGTGCTCACGACAAGCTCCCAAACAACCCCCCTAGTCTTCCTAAAGAGATTTGCCTCCCTTTTAGCTTTGATTTCTTTTACCTCATCTGTTTGTAAAATAGTAACACAACAGAATAAGGACGGTAGACAAACACAGCTGTGTCTCAAAAGTGGACAGACATAATAATCTATAAAATTTTACTTAAAAGAAAGGAACAATTTTCAGGCAATTCCTGGGAGTTCATGTTTTTTGTTTTAAGGATAGTCGAAAAGGTAAACTCTGAGTCTTTGGGTAGATAGTGATGATCACAGGGTTTGACAGACTTTCATACCAGAAATTAAAAGATGCTGGACAATTTTTATAGCATACTTTAATTGTCATTTCATAATGAAAAGAATCAGTTTTTGATTTTTGTGTGAAAAACCTCTTCTTTTTGCACTCTCAAATCATTGAGTGCAGTCGTAACTCAGCCAGAAACTACAGACAATTTTCAGATCTGGTGTATTCCTTTCATCCTATCCTGCCGTCTGTCTAAATGGCAGTAGCTTTCCATAGCTGGCAGTGGTTGTTCTTGGCAAGTGCCTATTGTTGTAGCAGTCTACACGAAGCTGATATCAGTCCCCAGGGCAGAGACCCTGAAATTAGCAGATAGGAATGAGACACACGGAGTGGGTAGAAACAAGAAAAGGACACTGATAGAAGCATCATGTTCCCATGACAGGATTCAGCCTCCTCCCACGCTGGTAGACGTCTTTTTGATGAGGAAAAACTAAATCTGAGCTGGCATCCAGCAGACATTTTAAAGCATTTTTGACCACCCTTGTCTACTAAACATCGATTTATTGGCTTTGAAAAGATAAACCTACAAGAGAACTAGAGCAGGGCAATTGCATAACTGCCCCCTCCATTAAAGGCTTACAATCAACCAGCTGAGCTGGAAACCATGTGTTTATGAGGGGCTGTGGTTCCAGATCCTTGCAGAAGTGTGTATTATGTTTTTAGTTTTTCTGTGTTTGGCTGACCAGTTGGAGAAGCTGGAGCAGTTGTTTAGCCAGGGGAATGAGGCAGAAGAGGGGTAGTTTTAAAATGGGTGCATCCCTGGGGAAAGTAGATGTGGAAAGATGGTGGTCTGTGCACAAAGGTTCAAATCTCCTCTATGGAATCAGCTGGGACCAGCCCTTTCTTCTTTCCACTGCTCAGCTTTAGAAACACCTCACCCTCTTCTCGTTTCCCCACACAAATCTAAAAGCAGGAAACAGAAAATAAGATGCTTTGTTTTCTAAGAGGAAACTAGAATAAAAGATTATTTTTACCAATATAAAAACTGTTTTTAAAAGAACAAATAATAACAGACCTTAAAAAAATCTGAAAGTTATTGTGTAAACTGCCTACAGGTTTTTTACTTGTGACTAAGCACTATGAATTTTCTCTTTGTGTGTATATGAATAAAAATCAGTGGATGAAAACTGATTGAATGTGACCCTGAAGGTCAAAAAACAATGTGGGTTTTCTTTCTAACGGTCTATACAATCTGGAAATGATGAGCCTTATTCATGGCAAAGACAAACAGACATAGATAATGCTGGTGCCAATCCTTTGATCGCTCTCTAACCAGGATGCACCCCACTTCTCACACAGCGTGTACTGGATTTGGCTTCAGTCCCTTGAAACCCTTCACAGGACAGGTTTCATGAATTGAGAATTGGAATCCTATCATCAGTGTATGCTGGGTTGCCATAATAGCCTTTTGATGGTTACAATGAAAAAACGGTGAAGCTATCAACAAAAATAAATTAAGTCTCAAACCAGTATTCCACCATTAGTATACCTGGGATTCCCTCACAGCCATGTGTCCTCTCTCTCGGTTGCCGGGATTGCCCTGAATAACCCGCCACACTCTCTCTCCGGGTCGGACCCTTTGCACAAAGTTGGCAGGGAAAAAACCAACTTTGTCCCCACATTTACCCTGAGGAATGAACCAAAACAGTTCAGTCAGCATTTAAACTGTATCTGGATGCCAAGATAGCTGTCACAGATTCTTTAGATCTAGTTAATGAGATTGCGCAATGATAGCCTGATCTGCGCTTACTGGCCCACCAGACTGCACTCAACCCAAATTGTTAGCTGACAATCCAACTTGATTGTTTTTCTGATGGAAAATCTGGAGTTTTACTGCTCCACTGTTGTCAAGTTCAATCTTAAAAGAGGATTGTTGGAAATCTCTATCTCTATATCAGGGGTCTCGAACTCCAGGCCTGCAGGTTTTAGATGTGTCCTTGATCCAACACAGCTAATTTAAATGGCTAAATTAGCTCCTCAACATGTCTTGAAGTTCTCCAGAGGCTGGTAATGAACTAATCATTTGATTCAGGTGTGGTGACCCAGGGTGAGATCTAAAACCTGCAGGACACCGGCTCTCGAGGACTAACGTTCCCTACCCCTGCTCTATATAATAAACTGCCTGGCCAAAAACCCCCAAAGTCTAATGCTCTAATATGTCATTGAACCACATTTAGCTTTAGCTTTGATCAGAATTAGAATCACTTTGTAAAAAACAAGGAATCTGTGATAGTGTCGTGCAAAAAACCCAAAAACAAACAGTAATGCAGATATAGAATGTATGATATTTACAGTACATATAATTATACATCTCTATATAAATATTAAAAATAAATACACAGACTACCCACAGATATAGAGATGACAGCACATATTCGCTCTGGCATCATTTTAATAAAGCCATGCAGTGTCACAATATCTATTTCCATCCAGAACGGTGTATTGATGACGGGAGAGTTGGATTTCTGTCTAAAGTATTCTCCAGAACATCCCAAAGATGCTCCGTGGGGTTAAAGTCTGGTCTCTTTGGTGACCAATCCATGTGTGAAAATCCATGCGTTTTCACACTTGGAATCCCATGAATCCTGGCATTATAATCTTGGATTAGGCCCATGTAGTTCATCACATGGAAAAATCCATTGAAATACCTGCTCGTTCAGTATATTCAGGGAGTCAGCTGACCTTCTGGACACTTAAAACTGCTGTACCTAGACCTGACCAACTGAAGCAACCCTAGCTATTAATGCTGACCTAACAGGCTTGTCTGGTAGACACTATACATGATGGATGCATCACTACATCCACCTCTCTTATTACCTTGATGCACCCATCAGTCTGGAACAGGGTCAACCTGAAGTCAAACCACATGACCCTTTTCCATTGCTGAACTCAATCTTTTTATTCTCTAGCAAATTGAAGCCTTTTTTTTCCTGATTAGCTCTGGTAAGTGGTTTTCCTAGGGCTGCTATTTAGTGCCAATCCCTTGAATTCTCTTCGTATTATGCATGTGGAATTGCAATTACTTTTGCTATTAAATATAGCCATGAGATGTACTGTTGATCTTTATTTGAGTTCACCAAACGTCTAAGTGACCTCTGACCACGATCGTTCAAGGTTTTTTTCCAACCACATCTCTTCCTTGGATGATAGTTGGTTTTAATAATGCATTGGACAGTTCTCAACCCACTTTTAGTAGTTTCAGCAATATCCTTAGTTGTTTTTCTTGTCTTCTTGAAACAAAGTAACATCTTTGTTGCCAAAAAACTGTTGCCAGAAACGCATTATTCACTGCAGTAACTATCCAGTAGAAGGCAGACAGTATATTGTTGGCACCAAATATTCATTCATACTAGTTTTAAACAGTTTTTCAGTGAAGACTGACTGATAAGAACTGAACACTTTCATATCTATCGCTTCCATCTCATAACAGCAAAGCCCAAATGAACTTTTAGTTATTTAGTAGTATAATTGAGCAGGCACCTTTATTGTTATACCATCATAAACAGAAATGAGAGAAACAACACTTTCTAAATTAAAATTTTACCTCATGTAGTGGCAAATCATCCCATTTTTGCTGTTTGTATAAAAAAAGATGAAACATTTGTTTTCCAGGTGCGCACACATAAACAACAGATTTCATCCCTTTCTTGCCAGTGATAACTGGGCATACCTCATTATGCAGCAATGTTTCACAGTTTAACACCCTCTGCCTCAGGTGTTGATGTGTTTATTGAAGTGATTCACAAACTATACATTAGTAATGAACAGATGATTCACAGATTATACATAATTTAAAGGTTTCTTGAAATGAATATGTTGATGTGCTGCTCCGCTTTGGGTTACGTAAGTTCAAGCAAAAACTATGCTCACAGAGTGTACGCTAAATCTGCACTCTGGATGCGTTTTCCTTCTTCGTGAACTGAAACACACGGGCGCACACACAAATGCACATTTATTTCCATTGGGAGTTAGTGAAGCTCATTACAGACTCAATAAGGGCCTCTACGCGACTGCAACAGTAGCCAAGTTCATTATGTTAAACTCTTTTGGTAATTTTCAGAGGAAATTATGTTCTATTTTTGTCTGTGGCTCCTTACATGTTTGCGACAGGCAAAAATGGAGCAGGTGTTTTGCATTAAAAACTTGGTTTAAAGACCTAATTTAACACATGCACAGTATGAATGCATGTGCACACACATAAACACACACACACTTCTGAGAACTTGGGGAAAATAAAACACAGCACACACCAACATCACCAGGTATGCACCAACTAGCACACACAGATGTTTGCAAATGATTTATTACCCACCTTCCACCACTCCTCATTAGAGTCGTCAGTGACCTGCACCCGATCACCAGGACTAAAAGAGATAAGACAAGAGAGAAGATGGGAAAAAAGGGCATGAGAAGGGAGGTAATTGGGGTGGAGAGGAAAAAGAGACAGGGAGACAATAGAGGGAAACATGATGGGAAAGGCAACGGAGTAGGGGGGAAGAAAGGAGAGCTGATTGCAAGCACAAAATATTACAGTTATCTAACTGCCACAGAAAGCTGTAGTGTACCCATGGTAGCAACATTGTGGAGGTTAAAATTTGGGTGAGTCTTTGTGTCTCGCTGTAGAGGTGACAGAACAGCTGAAAACAAAGTCATGAGGTCTACATGAAATATAACTCTATAGTGTCTGCTGCAGCAATGAAGGCTAGGCCCGATCTGCAGCCAGCCTGGCCTGCATACTAATGATGCTACCAATTTTTGATGAGACTTCTCTACACATACACAGTATGCCCACTGTCCTAGATATACAGGGAGAAGCTGTCCCAATTGCATTTCGGTGCATTCTGCCTCCCGGATGTCTGCATTCACAGCTGCCCTATATGATCATGGTACACACACACACACACACACACACACACACACACACACACACACACACACACACACACACACACACACACACACACACACTACCATGTGAGTCATATTTCTTAGGTGACTGGTACAATTCTGCTCATGCAGCGTCTCAAAGGAGCGCAGTTAAATATTTAAATGCATCTTTTATAAAGGTTTTCGTGCCCTATATTGTCTATCTAACTAAGCATTTATATCTATATTGTATATTTCTAACAGCAGAATTAGACAACTTTAGCAGTTTCCTGGTAGTAATAGATAGTGGATAGTGGTTCTAACTTAACAATGCTAGTATTTTTATACCTTTACTGTTGCTATTTCAATTTTTAAATACTATATTTTACATGTACAATATTTCCTGACAATATGGAGGGCATCAGAAAGAGCAGATAGGTTTCTTTGTAAAAATCCTCACAATGCCTAGTGGTGAGATTAGCTGCTATTCAGTCTCAAAGAAATCTATGAAAAAAGCTACTCAGAGATGAAACGCAAGCCACTACATATGTATTATCATTGTAATAAGTACAAATGTTATCTAAATTCCATCCATTTCTGTCCATCTTTTCATTTTCTTTCAACCTCTCCCTTGAGAAGATGCCACAGCGGGTCATCTGCCTCCATCTCTCCATCACTACAACCATAAACCTTCTCTTTAGTCTTCCTCTTTCCCTCGTGCCTGACAGCTCCATATTCAAAATCCTTGGTCCAATATAACCAATATGCTGTTTTTCTTCTCTGTTCAAACCCTCTCAACCTTGTCTCCAAACTGCTCAACCTGAGCGTTCCCTCTGATATACTCTGATAATTTTCCCTCCATTCAGTCCAAACAAAAATGTTATCTTCAACTTTGCCACCTACAGCTTTTTTTTTTCTCTCTCTCAAAACTATACATCACAACAGGTTCACTCTTGCTGCTATCTGTCTGTCACAAATCCCTCCTGACACTTGTCTACACCCACTCCCGCTTCTTGAACTCTCTTTTTCACCTCTCTTGTCCACTGTCCATGACTTTGGATGGTTAACTCTAGGTATTTAAACTCATCCACCTTCACTACTTCCCTCTAATTCACACAGATATTCTGTCTTCCTTATCTCCGGATCATACCTCTACCTCTCTACCTCTGTCTTTCTCCTCCTCCCTACTCTTACTACAGATCACAATGTCATCTGTAAACATCATAATCCGTGGAGACTACTGTCTGACCTCATCTGTCTTAACCACTTATCCTAAAATGGTTGAAACCAGCTGGGGTGGAGCACATCCTGGCTGAAAGTGGGAAAGTGGCGGGGTACATCATGGACAGGTTGTCAGTCCTTACAAATCAAATCCAAATAAATGTAAATCCCCCCAAACCCACTCATTCTCATGTAAGCTGTGTGTTTGTGAGCCATTATAGTCAAACCACCTATACTCATCATCACTACAAATATAATACACACTGATTAGATAACTGAGATTCTGCCCACATAAAAATTATCTTTTTTTTAGGTGATTAAACTATCAAATTTCTGATAATAATTTTTGCAGAATTCATATCCATGTACTGGTTTGTTAAAATCGACCTGTCTGGAATATGGTACATGTTTTGACTTCTGCCATCCACAATGGTCTGATCTTACTTTCTTGTATTTGGGCTTTAACTTTGACAACAGTGCTCTGCTTTCTCCATCTGTTTTCTCTCTTTCTCTCTCTGATAATCTTCCGCTCTATGCCATTTCCTCTCATGCATGTCCTCCCTTTCATCTCTCAGTTGTTCAGTGTCTTTATCCCCTTCCCTGCTGGGAACACAGCTCAGTCACTAGTTCTGCGTGGGGACAGGGATGGGCTTTGAGTTTATAATTAGTCGTCCTTAAGGGCGCCCCGGCACCGTCCTTTGCAGATGGTGGGGACATTTTCATCCTGCAGGAACAACAGCCGGGGCAAAACACGAACAAAAACCGACCATATTTGCACACGCAATGCTAAAAAAAGCAATTGCACACAAGCACTCCTGGACATGCACACGCATATAGCTATAAAAATCCTTGCACATAGTCAGGTTGTTTTGCTTTTACTCACTGTAGTTCCAGGTCATTTGGTTCCTGAGGCAGAAACTTGTAGAGCGCTACATAGGTGTGGATAGAGTGGACTTCAATGCGCTTGGGCACCTGGTTACAGGGAGATGCAGGAAGGGGAGGCAGTGAGACAGAAATACACGCTTGAGGAATAGAGCAACAAGGGATGAAAGTATGTACAGGTGGATTAGACAAAGCGGTACCTTCTCCTCTGCAGTCTGAGTTTGTTCGCTGCTCTCGTCTACCTCCTTTTCGATCTCTGGCTCGGGGATAGGATCATCTGGAATCAGCGAGAAAATGTCTTAAAAGTCGCTAATCACACACATAAGCACTCGTTTTATTGTTTTTGTTTTTGTTTTTTTACAAGCAGCCACAGTAATTCTCTCTCACGCACAGAAAGTTATGCGCGACACAACATCTGCATAGACACACATAGGCAAGGGCATGCAGCGCATGTGCATATCCACATACATCAAGGCACAGACACAGAGACGTCTTTACCCCCTGTCTCCTGAGTTAATTCTTCCTCCATGCTGGACTGTCTCTGTTGCCTCTCCTCTCCTCCCTCACCCTCAAATAAGAACATAGAGAGGAAGCAATAAAATATCAGCACCAGGAGGCCAGAGAGGATGCATTTGATAGTGGGTGACCTTGTTGTCAGTCAGTATGCTGGAAGTTCATGTATTCAACAGGTTTCAGAGATACCTGCGGTTCACAAAATGTGAACATTTTACATTTTAGCAAGCATGCACATTCTTTTCAGTGGAGAAGTTAGATGAGAAGCTTTCTATCAGTCTCAAACGTGTATAAACAGACAACATTTTGCAACATTTTGGTGAGGCGAGGTGTTTGGTCCAATGTTGAGCAGCAGTAAACATCTCTTGGCTGTTGCTTCATATTTGCTGCTTATAAGCTGTACACAGATCAGTCTCAAATATTTGTAGCTGAACTGTTACTTTCCGATATCGCAACATTTATTCAGGGTTTACAAGTTTGATTTAGATGGCTTGCAGCTGTTTTTCAGAGGATTCGGAGAGCTTTTTGAATTAGTCTCCATGTTTATATTATGACTAAAAAAGGTAGCTAAGAAGACAAGAATATTGTTATGTTAAAGATTTTCTTCCAATTTAATGGCTGTTCTGATAATACCTAATAAATCTGAATCTAAAGCATTCTTAAATGTATTAACTCTTAATAATTCAATAAAAAAAAAACATATGCACCCTTTACAAAATATGGCTTAACAAGGGAATGTCACTGTCAGTTCTCTTAATATAATAAGTAAGTTAGCTAACGGACCAGTGTTGTTTATTGTGTCAAACACACGGGACTGAACTGTCCTCTACCCCCACCCACAGGCCTATGATGTCATACCAAGCTGCGCGTTGGTGATTCTGACAAACTGCCAAAACTGGAGCGACTCATCTGTGCCAAGGACGTCCCGTAGCGCAAGGCGGCATACACAGGGTCTACTCGCATCCGCGGTGCCTCTGAAACCACACACAGACACGTAAATTATTCACTAAAAGACTTTGGACACACTACAATCAGGGCTACACGCTGAGATTACACTGTACATCATGACTATTGTGCCTGTGCCAATCTGGAGGAACCAAGGGGTTTAAATATAACTGCTGTAACACAGTCAGTCCTGAACCAAAGTGGCCTACTTTAGATCTGCGAGGACAGCAGCCAAAAATTCAAAAGAAAATGAAGACATTCCAATGAATTAACATGCTTTGATTTATTTAACTTAGTGGCAAGAGATGTGTCTTAGTTTAATAGCTTTAACAGATGTGAAACTGTAGAAAGAGTAGAAAGGGAATAAGAGACGAAATGTAAAATATGGAAATCTTCTGAAAGTCTTCGCTGCTGCATTTCATGTAGACAGCAGTGCTTGGGTGCTATCACACTATTTCTGAAGTTGGGAATTAGATTTTTCAGCTCTTTCCCCATCCAGCTCAACAGAAGGAGGGTAGAGGGATTTTGCTGCAGGGCCAGATGTGTCTCAGTGTGCGTGTGCCTGTGCAGGATGGAGTTGAAATCACCTGTAGTTTCATACTAAAGTCATTTCTTCTGTATACAGAAGAAATTGTGCAGCAATGTGTTATTTAGTATGATTAAGTCAGGTATTTAGAGTCGATAAAGCTCATTACACTGACTGAAGAAGGTATTTCTGCAGAGAGAAGTTAATTGCAGATGAGTAAATGATGGGATGGGAAGCCAAGCTTAGAGACTCTACACTCCACTGCTCCATATAAATAATTATTTTTTTTTAGATCCTTAAGGTTTCTTTTGAGACTGGAAGGAGAGTTTTTATGTAAAGTAGCTTCAGGTCTGTTTTTATTATAATGTTGTTAATTATCAGTTAACTGATAACATTCTGACCCGAGAATATCATCAGTATCAGGTTCTCTTTGGCAGATTTAACCTTAACATTTAAACAGAGAAATCCTTTTCACATTCATCACATATGAATCATCACTGCAAGACTGCAACGTAGACCATTAAGTTCCCGCAACTAGCAGACTCATAAATGAGGTTTAATATGAGAACAGTAAATTGTGGCCAGGAGGTACTTGATGGGAAATTAAGGGGGTCTGTGAGTAAATACAAAATGAAAACTGTTGTCTGATATGAATGTGTGTAAACATTTTACCAAGCCTTTTGTTAGCATAATTATGAGCACACTGTGTAATGTGTGATTGTGAGCTTGGCAGGTTGCACTCTCAGCTGGCCCTGGCAAAGTCCCAGGCATCATGGTGCTGAGCTCGAGGTGATGATGGAGTTGTAGGTTCATTGTACCCTGACTCATGAGTACTACAAGCAAGTGACAGCATGGGGCGCCGACCCTGATGTGAGTCATGCATTACGGCAGATGACTGTGTCACGTTCAAAGGTGTTCTTCCAAAGGTATGACAAAGAAAAATGAAGCTGCATTTCAGCGGTGACCATAAAAGGAAGAACAAATTTAAGCACTTTGGTCCAGTGGTTGTAAAAGCAACTCGTACCACTATGATTTGGCCTTGAGCGGACAAACACTGACCTGAAAACTGATTAAAAATATAATTTTCTTTGAAATTTATTCCCAGCATTTGCTGAATGAAATAAGGTGGATGTTTGTGAATTTGGGGTTACCATCAATCAAAAAAGTGGGCAGCATTTCAATGTTTATGAATTTTTAAACATGCAACTGTGGTGCCTATCTAATAAATTAATCCTCTTCACCAGTCCAAGGATATACAGCACAACTCATAAACAGAGATATAAAAACATAAACATTAGAACTTATAAATATTTATTCACATACTTTCAGCGTAGAGACGGTCCATCACCTCCAAGTGAAACTGAATTTGTCTCCTTCTCTTTATCTTTTTCCACTTCACATTCGTCCGTTGCCAGGTGAGGTGAAGACATTTCTGTTTTTTATTACATTACAAGCAAAAGTGCAAAAAAAAAAAAAAAATAGAAAAATCGAAAAGTAAAACCCAAAAGGCTGGACAAGAGCAACGTCACGAAACAAAAGCACAGGGACACAAGCAAACCCAACCAGCGGATTCACTCATACAACCACATGCACACTCGGACTGCGCTCACCTTGGCTTGGCTGAACTTCCTTGACGACAGCCAACTGGTCATTGACGAGCATCGGCGAGCTGAAGTTTCGCTTGAATGCTCCCGACTAATGGAGGGGAGAACAGAGCACAAGGGATTTTATAAGCTGCCATAACTTCTTGTTTATAGACTCAACACATAGCTCAACATATATCTCTTTGTAGTGCTATTTGAGCATTCATACAGAACACGTACAAAATGTAAGTGAAACAATTAACTGGGCTCACTTGCTCCAGGAAAGAACAAAATAAGCAAAGCCACGTATGAGCTCTCTCTGCTGCTAATCATGAACAATAAATTCACTCAACCACTACTTGTGGCCGCATGACTTAGACACAGACACGGACATGTGATTCTCCGTGTGTATGTGTCAGCACGACTGCAATTTCACACCGAATTAAGCACAGTGAGAGTTTCAGCTGAGATATCGGTTTGTCTTTGCCTTGACTTGCAAATGAGCCACTCACTTTGTCATATTATGTTGAAGAGAGAAACACTCAGCGGATCAAAGGCAATAAGTGGCTACCTTTGTTCTCCACAAACACACCCAGATTGTGCTCTGATGATATTTTAGCTTTCGCTGCCCTCATCATTCCCCTACCTTTCCCCCTCTCTGTTTGTGCACTGCTGTCAAACTGCACTGAGCTCTCTTCAGTACAGCGCTCTTAAAATTTTCCAAGTGGCTCTCAGAAGGTCTCGCCTCCTGCTGCATGCTAATGTCCTCTGCTTTACACTAGAGGATAAACACAAAAGCTGTGTCTGAAATCACTCCCAATTTTCTGCCTAGTGAATCATACTCACCTTCTACCATTGTCCTTCAAACAGTCATAATATGACATTTTTCATGATAACAAAAAAAAAATCCACATTGTAACATCTAACCGTTACGCCGCAAGTGTGCGAAATACTCTTTATGTAAGCAGTAGTAAAGAAAATTAAACATTGCTAATGATGGCCCTAAAAGGATGGTGCAATGATTAATTGTTTTATTTCAGTAGCATCAGCACTTCACAGCTTCAAAACAGCACTTTTCCTTCTGCCATATGCATCTGTGTTTTTTCAGCAATTTAACTGAAACTGCACATATGGTGAGCAAAAATGACTGCCTGCAGGTCAAGAGTGTTTCAGTGTTTATACGTGTGAGTCTGTGTGTTGATGTAATAAATGTGTTTGATGTGATACAATACTGATTCATCTGTGGGGTTTTTTTTTTCTTTCCCATTAACGCTGTACCTAAAGCTATTCTATTAAAAAAATTAAATTAATTGCAGAGTGCACAGGGTTTTGTGGTCAGGTTTTCAATTCATGCTTGTAATCCAAAGTGTGTTGGTAATATGACAAAACAATGATTGGAGTTGTGAAACTGAACATCAGATAACAAATCAGAAAATAAAATGTCAACCTCTTAACAATTTCCACATTTAGTCACTTCTTTGTTGCAAATGTGCGAGTATGTTGCAACATGACTCGAAAAATAAGGCCTTCCCTAAATGTCTTCTATGTTAATGAGGTCCACAGCATGAACACCTTGCATATTTCCAGTTACAGTTTTTTCTGAATGCTTAAACCCTAACTGTGATTCCTGTAGCACAATCTCTAAAACTATTCAGACTTATAGCAAAACCACTCACTGAGTGTGCAAAACTAAAAGCACAAAAACTGCTTTGCACTCAGTTTGCAATTTTGTAACACACACTTTGCAAAACTGTAGGCAATCAGAAAAAACTGTAACGGGACTCTTGTAGTCCTACGGATCACTCTAGCTTTGCACTCTCCTGCTTTAATTACAGTTTTTTCTGATTGCTTAAGCACATTTTTTGTAACTATTGGCTAATTTTGCAAAACTCTTCACACAAATAAGAAAACCTGTCACCCAATAATCAAAACATTGTAGTTCTCTTGCAAAAGCGAACACAGCTAGATTAACTCTTCACACCTTCGTAAAAATGGTGTTTCCGTATCAAACAGTACACACAAGCCATCATCTACTAAGCACACAATGCGCCAACTGCACACTGATGGTATGAATACAAAACACATCTGGCTTTTGCTTTCTCTGTGCACAAGGTAGGCTATGTCAGTTTGAGCTCATACTTCTGTCATAGATCCATAAGCATAGAGGGATCCAAACTTCAAGTACTGGTGTTTATTCAAACACATCAAAACAAACACAAGTGTTTATTTCCAAGTATAGGATTATTTGCGATCGCCATAATGACTATATGGGTTACTTGGTCTGCAGTGAACATGCTTCCTCTGCCCCCAGCATCTGGTCATCTAGCAGTTCTGTAAAGTAACAATTTCAGTATTTTTACATCAATGGTATTGGTGTGTTTCTCATTGGCATATGGCAGTGCTACAAATCTTTGTGCGAAGTGACTGTATTACAGTTTTTTCTGAATGCTTAAACCCTAACTGTGATTCCTGTAGCACAATCTCTAAAACTATTCAGACTTATAGCAAAACCACTCACTGAGTGTGCAAAACTAAAAGCACAAAAACTGCTTTGCACTCAGTTTGCAATTTTGTAACACACACTTTGCAAAACTGTAGGCACAATTCACTGCACAACACTCAATTACCAAATTTCCAACACACTCCTAGCAAAAGTATACACATGTATGGCTATCATTAACACTAACTTGCCAACTGTCTGGCACACTTTCACATGTGAAAACTTTTTTAGATAATTAGTTCACTTTGCAATCAGCCTAAGCACTATAATACAGGTAAGCTGTGTGTGCGGAGTACAATGGAGGGAGCAGAAAGAGTGAAAAGTAGAGGAGGCCGAGGAAGAGGACGTGGAGGTGAAGAAGTAGGATGAAGAGGACGACAAGGACAAGGAGGAGCAAGAGGAAGACGAGGAGGAGGGAGAGGAAGATGAGGAGGGGGGAGAGGAAGGGTAGGAAGAGTAAGAAATAGAATTGCTGATGACATCAGAGCTACAATAGTGGACCATGTAATCAACCGTGGAATGACCCTGAGGGTAGCTGGCCAACGGGTCCAGCCTAACTCGAGCCGCTACACTGTAGCAAGTACCATAAGGACATCTTGAAATGAGAATCGGTTAGTACAGTCACTTCGCACAAAGATTTGTAGCACTGCCATATGCCAATGAGAAACACACCAATACCATTGATGTAAAAATACTGAAATTGTTACTTTACAGAATTGCTAGATGACCAGATGCTGGGGCAGAGGAAGCATGTTCACTGCAGACCAAGTAACTCATATAGTCATTATGGCGATTGCAAATAATCCTATACTTGGAAATAAACACTTGTGTTTGTTTTGATGTGTTTGAATAAACACCAGTACTTGAAGTTTGGATCCCTCTATGCTTATGGATCTATGACAGAAGTATGAGCTCAAACTGACATAGCCTACCTTGTGCACAGAGAAAGCAAAAGCCAGATGTGTTTTGTATTCATACCATCAGTGTGCAGTTGGCGCATTGTGTGCTTAGTAGATGATGGCCTGTGTGTACTGTTTGATACGGAAACACCATTTTTACGAAGGTGTGAAGAGTTAATCTAGCTGTGTTTGCTTTTGCAAGAGAACTACAATGTTTTGATTATTGGGTGACAGGTTTTCTTATTTGTGTGAAGAGTTTTGCAAAATTAGCCAATAGTTACAAAAAATGTGCTTAAGCAATCAGAAAAAACTGTAACCAATTCTCATTTCAAGATGTCCTTATGGTACTTGCTACAGTGTAGCGGCTCGAGTTAGGCTGGACCTGTTGGCCAGCTACCCTCAGGGTCATTCCACGGTTGATTACATGGTCCACTATTGTAGCTCTGATGTCATCAGCAATTCTATTTCTTACTCTTCCTGCCCTTCCTCTCCCCCCTCCTCATCTTCCTCTCCCTCCTCCTCGTCTTCCTCTTGCTCCTCCTTGTCCTTGTCGTCCTCTTCATCCTACTTCTTCACCTCCACGTCCTCTTCCTCGGCCTCCTCTACTTCTCACTCTTTCTGCTCCCTCCATTGTACTCCGCACACACAGCTTACCTGTATTATAGTGCTTAGGCAGATTGCAAAGTGAACGAATTATCTAAAAAAGTTTTCACATGTGAAAGTGTGCCAGACAGTTGGCAAATTAGTGTTAATGATAGCCATACATGTGTATACTTTTGCTAGGAGTGTGTTGGAAATTTGGTAATTGAGTGTTGTGCAGTGAATTGTGCCTACAGTTTTGCAAAGTGTGTGTTACAAAATTGCAAACTGAGTGCAAAGCAGTTTTTGTGCTTTTAGTTTTGCAAACTCAGTGAGTGGTTTTGCTATAAGTCTGAATAGTTTTAGAGATTGTGCTACAGGAATCACAGTTAGGGTTTAAGCATTCAGAAAAAACTGTAAGAGCAATGAGGAGATGCAATAAACTGCATATATGGAGGTTGTTTCATTGCCCCTCTGGGCCTCTATGCAGGCCTGTGAAAAACTAAGTAGAGCCCATGATTCAATTGCTTGTGGAACCACCTTAAGCAGCAATAACTTGAAGTAATTGTTTTCCGTATGACTCTATTAGTATCTTGCATCCATGTGGAGAATTTTGTCTCACTCTTCTTTACAGTGTTGCTTCAGTTCATTGAGGTTTGCGGGCATTTGTTTGCGCACAGCTTTCTTATGGTTCCCTTAAGGTCTGGGCTGTGAATGGGCCACTGGAATGCTTTCATTCTTTTCTTTTTCAGCATTTCTGTTGTAGATTTGCTGCTGTGCTTGGGATCATTGGGATCATTGCTCTGTTGCGTGACCTAATTTCAGTCAGACAAGTGGCCTCACGTTTGACTCTGGAACACTCTGATATACGCGCGAGTTCATGGTTGAGTCAATAACTGCAAGGTGCCCAGGTGGCTTCAATGGCTACAAAACAAGCTGTTCATCACCATGCTTGATAGTGGGTTTGTGCTGATATATCCAATATATCAAATATAAGCCACGCTGCCATGTTGATTTTAGAGAGAATTGTGGCAATCTTCCAAAGAAGCCATACTTGTTCAGTCTTTTTCTAATTATACTGTCATGGAGTTGAACATTTAATGTGCTAACTGAGGCCTATAGAGTCTGAGATGTAGTGCTTGGTTTTTTTTTCCGATTTTTTAAAATTTCTCTTAGAATGAATTTGCCGGATTTGCACTCATTGAAAAATTGCAGCTTTGTTTTAAACCCACCTGAATGTTCCAGACCAGCAAACTGCCAAGACTTCTTTTAAACTGCTTTATGGTGATTATCAGTTTATTAAGTACACTTAGTTTTCCACAGGACTACCCAGAGCCTCATGTCGGTGTGTCATTTGGCTGTATGTTAACACGTTTATTTCAATGAATCACTGAAATATTTGCTTTCTTGCCAAAAATGAACACGAGAAGTAATAAGTAGCCATTCTATTCTTGCAATCCAGACACAAACAAAGCCAATGCTACTTTTTTATGTTTCCTATTCATTTCACAGAAGAAGATGGTTTATCATAGCAATAGCCTGGCATGAAGTGCAATGGAAAAACATGAAAGCAACAATCACTTTCCACTGAAGAGTGCTAAATCAGGGAACAGAATCAGTTTAAAAGAGTTGAGCAGACCAAAGTGTGCAGTTAGTGACTATGCTGAGAGAAACTCTCAGTGCTATAAATGAGGGCAACATCAAACTCTTGGTGTGTGTATTTCGCACCTTCCCATGACACGGCTGCTGCGATAGTTCTGAGGTGCACCACAGGTGAGCAGCCATCTTGCACGTTTTACACCGTAGAGCTTGTTTGGAGTTTCCTGCAGAGTGGGATAAAGAAGAGAGAATGAAAGCAGGGGACACTGACATTGAAGCAGTCACAAAAAGAAAAAAAAATCAGCAGGCGACAGATGTGCACTCGGCAGAAAGTGCTAACAGAACAAAGTGGCCCTTACATCATATGTGCAGGTTTTTCTCTGTTCAGGTGGAGAATGAAATCAAACCCTGTCCCAGTTTTATCAGGCTGGCACCGCAACCAGAGCTCACACTAACAGCTTCATAATGAACAGCTCTTCTTGCAAAACAACTTAAAGAGATTGGAAAGCAGCTGGACATATTTTAATTATAATCGATTTGGCATTGAGTCATTTACATTTGTATTTTTAAGGAGTTGAGTCCTTATTATCCTAGAAAACAAAGATCACTGATTTCTGAATTTGTCACAGATGGGGATTATATCGACAGGTCTGTATTAGAGCAGAAACAACAATCAAATAAATTGGGTTGCTCAAGAAAAATAGTGGTTTTAGAGAGAGAAATAAAATTAGTTTAACAGCTTATGAGAAAGAGGCTACACTTTGTTTCGGGTCTGCAGAGATAAATCTAGAGCGAAGTGATGCGTTGCATAAATAAACCCACTAAGGATGCAACAATAAATTTTCAAAAAACTGCACAGGAGCAAACACGGGGGAGCAGGTTGGAGACTGTAATCAGTCACAGTGACAGGAAGTAGATTTAGCAGAAATACTAGAAGCTAGTAGCACTTAGAGGTGAACAAAAGCGCACATCTGCGCTAGAGCTATAGCAAAGTCCAGATCTAATTGAATGACTTAAATCGAGGAGAGAAAAAAGAAGGAAGCAGTGAGGTGAGATTTAAAAACTTCACTTTTCTCAGGAAATCATTATTATTTTGTTTATTTGTACCACTTGAGGTAATTGAGCACCTTAAATATGCTCGTTTTCTGTCTGATATGGAGCTGTATGAGAAGACTGACACCACATTTGTAGTCTCTGTGCTTTCAAATCTGCAAGGGTCTGCATGGATTTAAGTGAAGTAAATTTAATGGTGAGTGGAAAGTTCCACAATTGTCCAGATGCACTTGCCCACTTGCCTACTTCCAACTAGATTTGGAAAAAAAAGAAGTAAGACCAATTACTTGTCCAAATTTTCTTGCTTGTTCATATGACCAACTCTCTCATCTTTACAGGAAATTTAAAATCACATAAGTGGTAATAAATCATAGGTCCTGAATAATAATTTTACACAAAATTCAAAGTTTTTCATCTAAACTCTTCAGTCTTTAGTTTTCATGAGTAAGTGTATCACCAAAGACCATGTCCAGTGAGAATATCGGGCACCTTACCTACTATCATGTGCTTGCAATGCTGGCAGTTGGTGGGCTTTCGAAAGATGTGGTCCTGGAAACAGTGGGTAATCTGGGGTCGGGGAGGCTTGGCGGGGAGTGATGGAGAAAGGCTGAGTGAGGGCGAGTGGGAGGAGATGGAGGGGTTGGGACTGCGAGATGGTGAAATTGATGGTGACCGGTCACCAACAAGTGGGGAGCCAGGCATCAGAGGGGGGGACGGAGGCGGCGGGTCCGTGATGAAATCCTGGGGCAGGCGGGCATCGCTGTAGGACCTTTGGAAGAAGTTCTCCACGCTCTTACTGCGCATCATGGTCTTGAAGGACAATGAGCGTTTTAGTCTCTGGAGCTGCACCCACGGACACACATCGACAGACATAGGGACAAAGATAATGCATTAAAAATAAACACGAGATAAGCAAGAAGCAATAACAAATGTCCAATGTGCCCTCAAGACAGCACAGACAATATCCCGGAATCCATAAACATCACACTCTGTTCAGATCAGTACACCTTAGGGAAAGAAGTTGACTCATGTAAAGCAATATCACCTCATAAGGAAACAACACATTAATAAAAGAGCTGCCTGTCCCCTTCAGCGAGATCGAATTCATATTTTTAAAGGGGTGCTTGTGCTTTTGGTTGAACAAGATAAGCTTTTTCTTATGTGTATAAATTGTACTGGCTTAGTGGTAGTGACAGAAGGACTCTTGTGATAAAACGAAACAAGAGTTTATTCAGCCCGATCATCTATCAACAACCCATCACCAGGGCCCTTAAAGTGAGCGCCGGCTCCACTAAAGAGGCCACACGGTTGCAGTGAGCACAAGTGGTTCAACTCACACACCAACAACATGTGTGAATACACACAGGTAAAGGGTTATTATGCAGCACCCAGACTTTTATTACAGAATAATGGTGCTTTATGTACAACGTGTAGTTTGGCATCATGAAAAAAGCAAGGACTACCCTGAAAAGAGCATTGTCTGGACTGTAAAAATAGCTGCTTTAAAGCCTGTACATATTGTATTATTAAGCATCAATATGCAGCAAGGTCCCCCTGTAGATCTGCAAGTTGCCTATGCCATCGAAGCTAATGGAAACCCATATCAGTACAGATCTTCTGAAGTTCTATACAAAAGATAAAGAAAGTTGATTAGGAAGATTAGGAAAATGAGAAATAAGTGTGGCAATTCATATCTGCAAACATTCATGAAACATGCATGCCAATGCAGTATAAGAGATAAAATCCAGATGCTTTAATATTATAACAAGCTTGAAAGTCAGTATGTGGTATGGTCCGAGCTCTCTTACACTAGTTTTCTTGTCATTTCTTTAAGTATTTTTCAGGAAATGTTTCTCTGGGCTTTTTTAAGGACGTTTGAAGCTCTTCTTTGGATGTTGGCTGCCTTTGGTTCCATTCTCACTCAAGATGATCCCACTCTGTTTCAGTAATGTTAATATCCAGGTTCTGGGGAGGCCAATCCATGACTAGTGGTGCTCCAATGTTTGTTTTTCTGTCCAAGTATAGTTTTACTGCATTGGCAGTGTGCATTGGATGCATCTCTCAGGTACTCTGTCAGGTCTTTGCTTTCTTCAGGACTTTGTGTTCATCTTCTGTAGAAAGCTTTCAGAACTGACATTTTTTCTTTTTTTCTTGTCATGCTTTCTCAGGTTTTTTTAAGGACAATCTACACAGGAAGCAGAAATATTTTAAATTTTGGCTAATCGCTGTTTGGAAATCACCTTGTTGTTAGAAAAATACAACTTTATGTTTGTCAAACTGTGTCATTTTTAGCATTTTTCATGGACTCAAATAAAGAAATGGAATAAAATTACACTTGTTTTGTGTTTTGTAATAGGCCAATAGTAACAAAGTGCCTAAAGATACAATTTAAAATTAGTTCATTGCTAAGTTGTCTGTTATGTCTAGACAACACTGGTTCATACCTTGAGTTTGTGCTTGAATGATTCATAGTTCAGTGTTAAATGGCTTAACAAGTAAAAAACACTCCTATGAAAATGGTCAGGTACTACCACTGGGCAAAAAATGAGTAAAAAAGCAGCCAGTGTCCCAAGACATGTTTGAAAGGCTGCCAGAAAGCATAGACAGGAAAATTACAGAGTTCAGTTCTTTATAGTGTGCTGTCAACACCATATGTGCTGGATGGTACCTCTCCTCACTAAGTTGGAGAAGTGTCTTTTATTTCCAAAAAGAATATCACATTTTGACTGGTCACACAAGAAGACAGGTTTCTTTTTTTGCCTCAGTATAGCTTAAATTCCCCAGAGATGGTTGCAGCATTCCTGGATCATATTTACAATTTATTCTTTGTATGGTAGAGTGTTAACTTGGATTTGTGGATTTCTCTGCCCACACAGCCTTTGCCTGAGTCATGAACCTCTGCCCATCTTTGCTTCTGAGAGACTCATCCTGGACGCTCCTTTTTATACCCAATCATTTTTCTGGCCGGTTACCAGTTAACTTTTTAACAGCTTTTGCAGGAACACTGTTACATTAGGTGTAATAACCAAACCAGTTCTTTAAGTTCAGTGCATTTCAAAATCTTAAGAGTCAAATGATAAAACATCACATCAACAGGCATCACATCAGTTATCTACAGAATGCCTAACATTGATTGACTAGATAAATGAATGGTTCCTGACATTTGCCTCCAGCTCTATGTACGGTTGATGATGCTAGTTTCCCAGGGGACAGGCAGACATTTGTTACAATGACATGCGATGGAAGGGGTAACGCTGTGTGAGGGTGTGGTCACGTCGCAAGGAAAGAACGGATGAACACAGACAGACGAGGAGACAGATCATCAGCAGGCTACATACACTCTGCGCACATGCTCTGTCTGTCTGTGCTCATTCTGCTCAGCACCAAACATAATCACTTAACAGGGACATGTTGTTTACAGCTCTGTGAGTCTGGGAATAAGCTATGAAGACAGTTTGTCTATTTGACTGTGTGTCTGTGTGTGTGAGGAACACATCGATGCAGCGCAAAAGAAACAAAACTGTAGGAGTGTAACTGAATGTACATTTGCACACTCCATATGCTTCCTCTATTTGTGAAATTATTTCCCTTCATTAGATTACATTGATGAAGATTAGGTACGCTGTGGACTACTACAATTCATTATATCTCTGTTAGACATCTCTGAGCACCGAAGGGTGTTATTCTTATCTTTATTTTTTAGAACTTTGAAATAAAGTACGCCGCTTTGTAACCAACTGCTTCGTTAAATACATATAATCTGGGCAAGGACATTTTGCAGGATTTGCATTTCTTAGCTTCTGGTTGGGGATTTAGGGTTTCTTATTGTAAGCTGAATCGCTGCAAGTGTTCGTTCACCTATTTATGGCAGCTTCTTGACACACAAGTGTTGTTAGCTGCAGGAAATGTGCAGCATGTCTTCTATGATGCTTATAGATGCATGTTCACAGGCGGGTAGCCTGGATGCAGGCAATTAGTGCGTTGGATATGTCCATGTGTTTTCTGGGTTTCACTGAACTATGCACCACAGTGATCCTAATGCATAACTTAAAACTTTCAGTTTGGGAGATTCAGTTCAATTCAATTTTATTTATACAGCGCCAAATCACAACATCAGCTGCCTCAAGGCGCTTTATATTGTAAAGTAGACCCTCTAATAATACATAGAGGGAAAAAACCCAACAATCATATCACCCTCTATGAGCAAGCACTTTGGTGACACTGGAAAGGAAAACCTCCCTTTTAACAGGAAGTAACCTCTGGCAGAACCAGGCTTAGGCAGAGGTAGCCATCTGCCCTGACCAGTTGGGGTGAGGGGAGGAAGACAAGACAAGAGACATGGTGTGGAAGAGAGCCAGAGATTAATAACAAGTAATGATTTATTGCAGAGAGGTCTAAAGCCAGAGATGCCTTTTGCTTTGTTGCGTGTGATCTTATTCTAGTCAGATTAAAAATGTTAAAAAAGTTGTCATGTAAGGATGAACAAGCATCTAATTTATGCTTATCAAATAAATAATGATTAACATCTAATGATCTGTTCTCGAATTGCATTAGTAATTCATTTTTTTAATGAGGGGTAAAATAAATTTGGTGTTGAAGCAGGTACAGCAAAACCCACATGTTTGCAACCTGGTAATATTTTCTCAATAATGACTTACTAATGTAAGCAAAATGATTCATGAAACATTACGACTTATAAACTATATAATGGGGTGGAATATATTTTTAATGATGTTAACAGTACAAAGTTGTTTTGACTTCATATTTTATGTGCAGCATCACAGCCTTGAGCAGAGCTCTTTCAATCAGAGTGGCTGAGTGCTGGCATAACAGCTCCAGCTATAGAGCACATGTCTCAATTACAGCTAATCTAATCATCTGTCAGTGTGCGGGTCTGAAAAGCATTCCCGTTTTCTTCCATTTGAACATTATCTGAAAGAATAATCCTTCTGACTCAAGGCCGATGTTGACATCAAGTATGATGTGGAGCTTCACTGCACATTCATGTGCACCACCGCACATGAGGTGAGATGCTGATATCGATGAGTCAGAAGCGATATATGCCACACTTTAGTCCCAGATTTATAGCTGATTATTTATTGATTATTCCTTTTATGAAAATCCCTGTGACCTGCAACGGGACCTGCCTCAGTCTTCTGTCACTTCTTCCCCAACTGCACTTCTCCAAGTAATACTCAACCCGTTTCAGCTTAAAAAGACGCATTTGGATCAAGTCTTGCCTGCTAATGTTCCTCCCTCAACGTTTTTTGTGACTCATACATGACTAATAATGTGATGCAAAATGCAAAATATTGCACAGATTTACACACATCTGCAGAGTCAGTCTTCTTTGAGCAGCTCCTATCTCACTGCTGCAAAGCAGACTGACGAGCTGTCTCAGCAGACCTGTAAAAGCCCACAATTTTCACATCTTCGATCCGTATTACAACAGACCTCTGCCTTTCTCACATGTTGCCAGCATAAATGTACAAAATCAATTCTCCACAGCGGAACAGCGAGGATTGACTAGTCATAATTCAATGATAAGACTTTTATGTCACTCGAATACCGCCATCAAAATTTAATGGGGCCAGTCTGAGATATTTATGGGATGCTCCAGTCTGCCCAGAGGTCAAGACTCAACAACAAAGCCTTTGTCCCACTGGGAATATGAGGATAATATAGGCACTCTGGAATTTGGTGAGATGGTCTGAGTGGGGCCTGCATCACATGTTTTCAGTGTTTAGAAATGTAACACCAGTAGGATTACTATAAGTCAAAACTCTATAGGTGTGCAAGGGTGTGTGTGTGTGTGTGTGTGTGGGGGGGGGTTACTTAT